AACACACTGTTCACGAGCCGATTTCGAACACGAGCTATTTCGAACGAGCCGAACACGAGCCTAGCCTGAGCTCGCTCAAGCTCGGCTCGTTTACAGCCCTAGCTGAACATGAGTTGTTCGTAAACAAAAAATCGTTTTGACAACCCTAATCACATATCCTTAAAATGTTAAGGATTGAGACAAGATTTAAATCTTATTTAATTGTAATAAAATATCATTTAAGTATAGTTTAATATATTTTTTTATTAATATTTTTAATTTATTATAAATCTTAGTAAAAAGGAATGACAAAAGGCTATTATACGATCTCCGACCATCCCTCACTCGTCTAATAGTTCGAGTGACACACCCTACACTACACTCCGGGGGAATCGAACCCCAAACCAAAGGGGACATACAACTGACAAGCAGATGCCAGACCAACTATATAATTTTTAATGAAAATGAGCAGCACGAACGGTCAAATTTTTGTTCATTTTCAACTTGTTTAAATATTGAGCATAAAATATTGTTTGCTTTGCCTCATTAACTTAACGAACGAATCAAACATGAGCTCGTTAACAAACTGAATTATCAAACAAGTAGTCTTTAGGCAGCCCTATTTAAATCAAGGCCCTAAATTTCGTGTGCTTTTTACCGCCATCATTCAAAATTTGAAATATTTCATCTCAAGGACTAGCTGATGAAGAGCACTGTAACCTCTTTCCGCTTCAACAATCCAAAAAATTGGACTTTGGAGTGGATGTCAAAGTTCAACGAAGCACAACTCCAGCAAGCGGCCGGATTCTATGAAATGCGCCTCGAAATGGAGATAAACCTGCAACTCAATCCGAACAACGAATGTTACAGAATCGGAGTATTTCCATGGTTCCGCCATCTTAATCTTGTTTCTATTCCCTGTAACGTGCGTGGAACGCTGAGACTGGGAAATAGCTAATCAATTTTCTATCATGGGGAGGTGGATTCCCTTTTTTGTCATGTCAGTTGATTGCAGGCGGGAAGAAGACACTTTTTTTTGGGGGTAAATTTATATGATTTTCTTTTGTTTGCATCACCTGTCTCACATTCTTCCTCGCTGAAGTCATCTCTTGATTTTAAATAAGTTGTTGTGGCTGCTAAGATGTACGAGGTCCATAAGTTTATGCTCGAGGATTTGTGACCTCTATTTAAAATTTGGAATTTTCTGGCAAGCGTTTATTTCTTAAGTAGTTATGGAGGATTTTCATTTACTGATGTGTTGCCAAGTCGCCCAAAAATTTGGCTGTAGTGACGCTGTTTTGGACTTACAGAATCTGATTTGGTCAGCTATCTCATTTTCTTTCCACACATGTAATGGAATTCTCCCTCATTTGATGCCGCTCTGATATCTTCATTTCTGTTTTTTCTTTCTTTCTTTTTTTTTTCGGAAGATTTACATACATAACACTCAATTCATATGTATTTACATATCTAGCATCTATACTTCAGTTCTAACATACATACATCCCACATTTCTTATGCATGAAAGTTTGTGTTTTACTTTTTTAAGTTAAAATAATGATATTTTTGATGTGATATGAAAATTTTGGGTGGTGTGAATATAAAAAGCAAAAGCTTAAGCGTTAGTGATGTGTGTTACAAAATTCGCCGCATTAGAGTATTGGATTATCATCTTAGAGTTGTATAAGAATTCAACACACGCATGGATGAAAGAAAACAAACAATGACGATTCTAGAAGTTCTTATTTGGAAAACCAAAAAAAAGGAAAAGTCACGGGGCTTGACCTAGTTACGAAAATCTACTATTGATTGATGATGACAGAAATTCTTTGTCACACAAACGAGAAATGTTAACTATATTTTTTAGATTACAGTGTTGACTAACGGCGTATGGTTGGAGGTGATCGGTGATTGTTAGCGGTGATCAACGATGTTTGGCGGATGTCAACGAAGGTGAGCGGTGGTTGATAATAGTCGACGACGGTTCACTGAGGTCGGGGGTGGTTGACGGATGTTAACGGTAGTTGACGACGGTTGGTGATGGTCCACTGTTGTCGGCAGTTGTCGACGACGGTCGGCAGTTGTCAATGGAGGTCAGCAATGATCGACAACAGGCAGCAGTTGCAACTTCTTCTAAAGATCTTAGGCTCTCTCTTTAGACTTAAGCTCCCCCTCATGAGAAATGTGAGGCTTTACTTATAGTGTTTTGGGTGCAAATGCAAGAATGTGAACTATTTTGATCGAACGCTCCGGTGAGCCTCCCTTAAGCAGATAGTGTTTAATGGACATTTGGATGTCTTAATGATGTCAGAATTGAGTGATCTTGAGCTCGTTGGAGCCATCTTGTCGAGACGTTCGATTCAACTATAAACTTGTTAGATTCGATATCCATTTGACCTTTCAAATATGTCAGGAATCTTCTAAGAACAACTTAATGATTTGATATGGGTTTGATTTGACTTGGATTAGACTAACTTTGATATCATTAGGCTCATCTCATCGAGCCGGTCAGTTTGACTATAAGTTTGTTGAAATCGGAGCTCTAGATGATTTTTTATCAATATTTGAATGTTTCTTGTTCAAAATATTATCTTAAGATTAATGTTATGTTTCAAAATTAGTGTCGGATGATGAAAAGTTATTAGTGGCGTATCACTTACATATGTAAATTAGTAGGAATTTTGATGTGATAGCTACTCTTCTGTAGGCTTCAGGGGATTGAAAGAACCTGGGCGGGCTTCACTTACTTTCGATGCTTTAAAAGACTCATTGTTTCTAATTGATTTTCATGCTAGAGAAGCATGCATGAATAGTGTCCTATTAACTTTACGATTCACCTTAGCAAAGTTCTGCAGCAGAAGTATGATTTTATTGGCTTATTGTTTTTAGTAGATTTTAGCATGCTTCTGAGCTTAATAACTTCATGTCATGGCTGCAGGGGGATTTATTATTGTATTTCAGTGAGTTCACTTATGGAAAACATCCTTGATGCATCAAATAAAGTTCTTTCTGTCCAAGATAATCCACTAGAACAAACACAAAGAACACCACATGTGGTGAATGAGAGTGAGACTGCCACCAGCGATGAAACTGCGGCAGCTATTCCAATCCTATCATTGCCAGGAACTTGGAGGAAGGTCGGAATTTATCTTTTCTTCAAGGATATTTGGTAAAGATATAAACTTTATGCTGAACCTGCAAATTTATGTGTAATTGCCATTCTAAATGAATACTGTGTATATTTCTTTTTACCACTCTGATTTAAGATAGAAATTTTGGGCAATGTTTGGATTACATTTTCTATCATGTGATTATGTGAAGTTTAAGCCAATTTATTTTCATATTTTAATGATTAGCTGCATCTTCAAGTTAGATGAGCTAGGGAGGGAGGTTGCAAGGATTGCCATCCCGGCTGCAATGGCTCTAGCGGCTGATCCTCTTGCTTCTTTGGTTGATACTGCATTTATTGGCCGATTAGGTTTGTCTCTGTTCTCGAATGTCTTTTATTCATGCTTAGAATTTTCTTACATGCACTAATAATATAACAAAATTCCCGCCAGTTTGAATTGGCACCTCTATTTGGATCCATATCAAGAGAAGATGTTTAGGAATTCCGAGGCTCTCTCAAAAGCCTGAAAATCCATTAAAATGTTTGGCCTATAACTTGTATTTTTTTTTTTATGCGGGTTCGATCCCGCCTAAGTGCTTATGCCTTGCAGTACAGGATCAAGTGATTAGGCATATGAGGGTGGTTGGGTGCTCGTATAATAGTCTCCAGCTATTCTTTTTTAAAATTAAAACAAATAAATAAATAAATAACTTGTATGTTTTTCTATTTTTGGGTAAATGGCTTACAGGTTCGGTGGAGCTTGCTGCAGTAGGAGTTTCTATTGCTATTTTCAACCAAGTATCAAAGGTTGCCATTTATCCTCTTGTTAGTGTCACAACATCCTTTGTAGCAGAAGAAGATGCTGTATGTTGCAACATCCTTGAAGAAAAAGGAAATTTTGATTTGGAAAAAGCTTCAGCTGTGATAAATAAAGCTGCTTTCAGTGAAGGTTCTCTCCCATACTAATTTATGTTTGTGTAAACTCCTAAGTCGCTAAATTTTGTTTGCAACCAGTTCCTGATGCTCGGATGATCGGATGCGACCTGCTAAATATCGTCAATACGTGCAGTGAGCTATCGACGACGACTAAAAATAAGCGAAAATTTGTTCCCTCGGTGTCAACAGCGTTGGTTGTTGGTGCTGTTCTAGGAATCCTTCAGGCGATCCTTCTCATTGCTACTGCAAAATTTGTTTTGCACTTAATGGGAGTGAAAGGGGTATGTGGATAGGATTGCAATTCTTTCTGTCTTTTATTACATTTTTTTCCATTAATTAGAAACTGGTTTTGCAATTATCTGTTGCTATCTGTGAACTATTTTGGCACAAAACATTTCTGTTCTTTATGTTTAGTTTTATTTTTAAAAATGGCTTGTTTCACAGTATATATAAAAAAAATCGAATATATTATTTGTTGTCTAGTCTGGACCTTAAAGTTATTTGTGGTTAAAATAATATGACATTCCTTGAAACTTATTGTAACTTTTTAATTGAAATTTATCTATTTGTTTGTTTTTGTTAGGGTTCTCCAATGCTTGCCCCTGCTATGAGATATTTGACATTGCGATCCCTTGGCGCCCCTGCTGTACTCCTGTCTTTGGCCATGCAAGGGGTTTTTCGTGGCTTTAAGGATACAAAAACGCCTTTATATGCTACCAGTGAGCAATAACTAACTTCTCCATAATTTTTGTAGCATCACTATTGGACAGATATCTCTTTTCTTTTATTGAAGTTTTTGCGTAATAACCATCCAAAACGTTAAACATAACATTTTAACAACCCCAAATTTTAAATATATCATTTTAATCAGCCAAAACTTTTATTCAAAGCTCTCACTCAAAACGTTTACTGGTGGGTAAAGGAGGATGGATGTAATTAAAAAAATGGTTAAATGTTATATTTAAATTTTGAGTATTTAAAATATTATATTCAATATTTTGAATGGTTGGAATGTAAAAGCCACTTTGTTATGTCATAAAGTGGTAGTCTCCTTGCCTTCTGAACTCTTCCCCAAAAATTTGTTAGAATTTCTTGTAACTTAATATTGTTATCCTTTTGAATGTCTAGTGTAGCTTATAATAACCAAGTAGCCTATTTAAATTTGGCAATTGCAATAGCAGCACTTTAGGATAAGGATCCACAATTATACTATTGTTGGTGTTTAATGTTGTGATGAGCTTTTTGGTATGAAATACAATTGCTTATATTATCATAGAGATGTACGAGTTGCTATGAAAGTATTTTGTCTATGGCCGTGAAGCCATAGAAGACGGGTGCTTGTAATATAATGCTCTATATTGCACGCTTCCTCGAAGTTTTTGGTTGTCTTATTTTCATTCTATAAAAGATAAAATTGTCAAAATAGTCTGATTCTTTGTAGATGGTTATTTTAATACTAAATCTGTAAAAGTGTCAATTTATTTACCACATTTTTAATATGAGCTGAAATAAACCCCAGGACAGACTATTTCAGCCCCGATTTAAAAGGTATGGAGACTAATTTGACAAGTTTATAGACCCTGGGACTAAAATGGCGCCATGCAAACAGTCAAGAGACTATTTTGACATTTTACTCTTTTGTATAAGCATTACCAGACAAACCCTTATGCTTTCTATTCTCTGCGAAATACTGAACGTATTAGAGCTAACATGAACATTTATCATGTTTCCTTTTTTCAATTTCAGGGGAAATAATCCAATGTTTTCCTAGGGGTATTGTTGCAGCATATTCTTTCTTGATATGTTATGTAAGCTTGTTGATATTTTGAAGCAACTACTCCATTCTCTACCAAATGAAAGTCACCTCGGGTTAAAAACTTTGGTTTTGATTAGTCCAAGTTCAAGTTCTGATATACATTTTATCTCTTAGTCTAATATTTCAGCTGGTTAACAAATATTTTCGATCGGCTTTATTCCTGTCTAGTACAATAGAGCTGTTGATCTTCTGAAGCATCTATTTCAAATGCGACGCCTATAAATTTGATACTACTTTTGCTAATATTTTTGTCATTTATAATGTTCAAATTACACTTTTATTCCAACTCTTTTCACCTTCTTTACAATGCAGTGGCCGGAGATCTGACCAACATAATTTTGGACCCAATTCTGATATTTGTTTTCCATATGGGAATCAGTGGTGCAGCCATTGCACATGTCATATCTCAGTAAGTTCTACACTTATCATTTGTGATAGTAATCATATTTTATAATTCCCTTCGCTTTACTTAATTCTTCTCTTTGCTTTACAACTTATGGAAAGCTTTTTTTTTTTTTAAGGTACTTCATCACCTTGATACTGCTGTGCAAATTAATCAAAAAGGTGGATATTGTGCCACAAAGCATCAAGTCTTTTAAATTTGCTAGATTTCTCAGATGCGGTAATACACTTTCTACGATTATTTCTATGTTTTCATTTAAACTTGGAAACATATTTAGAAATGAAATGATGGGATGTGATGTTAGTAGCTTTACCAAGAAACATTTTGGTATTATGAAAGAAAAATAGGAACTTGATTCAGGTTTCAAAGCTTAGAGATAGTGATGGAAAGTATCATTCTTCTGACCCATAGCTTTTTAGGAAAACTTTGCTATGAAAAACAGCAAAGAGAGTTTTTTTAAACACAACTTTAAAAATAGCCAACCTTAGTTGCTAAATTATGTTAATTCTTTTCTGGATTCTACTATATTTCAATGAGAAAACAGTTAAAATAGTAAAATAGTTCACTGACTCTTTGGTCCCAGACTCTTTTAATGAGGGCTACAATTGTCCTCTATGAGTAATATCTCAACCAATATTAAAAGAGTATAAGGATTAATTTGACACTTAAAGCTTATGGGACTAAAATGGCCCCCATATAAATGGGCAGGGGACTATTTTGACACTACTCATATGTCAAACCACTTATTTTATTTTAGAATTTACACATTCTTTTCACCTGCTATCCTCACCTATTTTTCTTTAAAAAATTAGGATTTTTGCTGCTAGCAAGGGTAATTGCAGTGACATTTTGTGTGACACTAGCGGCATCTCTTGCTGCTCACCATGGACCAACTCCCATGGCTGCTTTCCAAATCTGTCTGCAAGTTTGGTTATCTACATCACTCCTTGCTGATGGATTGGCTGTTGCTGGTCAGGTATAATTCATGCTACCTTCAGTGGGAACTTGCATACGTACCACCAAGTTCCTAATTATTTACATATCTAACACTTACACTTTATTTTTTACATTTATACCACCCAAATCATTCATATTAAGATAAAAAAATGCCACCATTTTAACTTTTTAAAGGTGAAATACACCTTTTCATGCATTGGCAAGGTGACAAGTTTGTAAAAATTGAAGCTTAGGTGTTATGGATATGTAAATGAATAGGAATTGCGTGATATGTATGTAATCTTCCAAAACAGAACTAAAGACGGAAAACACACAAATGATCTGTAAACCTTTTGCAGGCTATATTGGCTAGTGCATTTGCCATGGGAGATCTTCCAAAAGTAGTGGCAGCAACATCTCGTGTCTTGCAAGTATGCTAAATTCTCACTGAAATGCTGCCAGATTTTGCTAATTGTCATCTTTTATGTAGATTAATGCTCAAATATGCCGCAGTTAAGTATTGTGCTTGGCTTGGTCCTGTCTGGCTTGCTCGGCGTTGGTTTGGGTTTCGGCTCGGGAATATTCACAAAAGATCGCAATGTGATAAAACAAGTTCACAAAGCCATCCCAGTGAGTAGCCCAAGGAAACAAAATTATATGTTGCAATTTCAAGTTGAATATGTTATTTATCTTGAATGCAGCTGTGTGTATTTTATATTATTTATTTTTAGATCCGCACTTCTACATTTTTTGGTGCTGCTTAGCTTTATATGTGAGGATAATGGTAAAAGTTTGAGCATATAGTTCCATGAAGATAAGAGAATTACAATGTCAAAGATTTAGAATGATGACACAAATTCACATGGTTTGGTTAGATTCACTTATGTCAACAGTTGTTATACAGTGATGAGATAGTCTAGTAAGCTTCAATAGAGATGCATAGAGATAAATTATATTTCATATGAACAAAGACAAGGCTATTATCTTGTTTGTTTCAATGAATGAGAAAAAATATAACCTCCTGTTGTGACGATAAGGGGTTAAGTTGAAGAAAAATGTTGATTTGTTTCTCTTGCTCTTTTCTTTTTTATTGTGTGAACTTCGTCCTCACTTTGTTTTTTCTCTTCCTCTTCTCTCATTCATCTCCTTTTATTTTCTTATGATTGTCACATGTTTTACAATTTAGGACATTAGAGTTTATATAATGATGAGTTTAACTTCTAACAATAAGGATTAACCATTTAAGGTCTTTATAATTTCAGTTATAAATTTTGTGGTAGCCTACAATTAAGAATTTATGGTAGCTTCCATTTATGATAGTATCCATTTAAGACTTCTAGTCAAGTTATCACTAATTTAAGTTATCACTAATTTGCCCCTTTTCTTTCTTTGATCGCTTGTATATTAATTATATCTCTCCCTTATTGGCATAAAATCCAATCTTTGTACATGCTTAAGTCACCCAAATTTACTTTTCTTTGCATTATCTTTAATAACAAATATTTCCACCATTCCAATTTATCCCTTTAGCTTTAATTTTACCGTACAACCATCTCAACATTCTCATGTCTGTCATCTTCAACTTAGATATCAACATCTTTATTCATGACCAACATAGCCCCTTTTAATTACAAAATTTATTTTTTTGATTTCTAGCTTTAACCATAAATACTATTTTCTCATCTATGTCAACTGAAATCACCTAAAACCTACTTATATTTTTACTAACAATTTTCACTTTAGCTCCAAATAATACATAAAATATACACATTTTTTAATGAATGTTTAAAAGAAACTTCAAATATTTTAATTTTCTGTCTGTTCTCACTCAGTTTGTTGCTGGTACCCAAACAATAAACTCTTTGGCTTTCGTCTTTGATGGCATAAACTTTGGAGCTTCAGATTACACTTTCTCTGCGTATTCAATGGTGAGTTTACAACTAAAACCTCTGCAAATTAATTCTCTTAAACTTCAATCTTTTGTTTAAAAAACTTTACATATTCAACTATTAATTAATCTTCAGGTTGCAGTAGCTGCTGTGAGCATTCCATCTTTGATATTTCTGTCAAATAGCTATGATTTTGTCGGAATATGGATTGCGCTAACAATTTACATGAGCCTGCGAACTTTTGCTAGTCTTTGGAGGTATTGTTAGATATCAATTTTTTTTTCTTATATCCATAAATGTTTATTATATCAAAAAAATGTGTTTTGTTGTATTTAAGTACCTATCACACAAATTTAGTGTATTTACATATCTAACTTCTAAATTTTGATGTATTTATAACACTTCAGCATCATGATTGCATTAGAACTTAGTAAAATTTACGTATATGTCATATAATTCTTATGAATTTACATATATAACTCCTAAATTTTGATTTTTTAGATTTGTATCCCTTATGTTTGAAAAGGTGCATTTCACATTTTAAAAGTTAGTAACACTTGCATTTTTTATGTAATGTGAAGGAATTTCGATGGTAGCTATGTCAACATGTAGGAATTGTGTGGAGTGTATGTAAATGCCCTTATAATTTTTTTACATGAAAGAGTATGTCACTTTCGAAAGCTTAAGAAATGCATTATTTGTTTATATATTAAAAATTTATATTTTGTATTACTAAATATTAAAATTTAGTGGTTAGAAATGTAACTATATAAGAATTGTATGGCATGCATGTGATTAACCCCCTTAAAAAAAGAACATTTTTTTACTTATGTATTTATTTATTTATTTATTTATTTATTTGTGAAATTTAATGCAATGTTTTGGGGTGCATGCAGGATGGGCTCAGCAACCGGACCCTGGACTTTTATTCGGAAATAAATTATTTAAGGAATTGGTTGTACCCAATGTATGGAGCTCCAATTTATCTGAGATTTGTGTCCATTATTTAAAATGTCTAGCATGAAAATTAATTGTCTTTATAATTTGTAGCAAAAAATAGTATGTTTTATTAAATAATTGTTGTAATTAATTTCAATTTTGTTGCCATCTTGAATCTTTGTTATTGATGAGCCTTCTTTTGGTTTAATTTAGAAATTAGATTTGCTACATAAAATTTGAGGGTTTTGAAAGAGGGGATTAAATAATGATAAACATAATATTAGAGAAAATTTAATATTATTTGTTAAGAAATTTAATGGAAAGAAAAAAAATTTAAGGAGAAATTTTATAAGTTAAAGTAGATTAAGATAAGATTGCTAAGGATAATAGGATTAGTGATAAGAGTATTTGCAATTAAGATAATTATTGATGACGGGGTTATGAAAGCAATTAGTACTTTTTAAATTGATTAGACTTAGGGTCTGTTTAGGGCAGCTACAGCTTATCCAGCTTATCTCAATAAACTGCTTATTCTGATAATCTGGTGATAAGCAGCTGATCCAGATAAGCTGTCTGTTTGGTTTGTGCGTTTATAGAATAGCTGATTTTGGAAAAATGACCAATCTGCCCTTATATTGGATAAATTGAAGTTGTTTGGTTTGTGTGTTTTGTAAGCAGCTGATTTGCAGATCAATATAGTAGCAATACATAAGAGGACATGTGATGTTCAACATCATGCTAAACATCGTATCGTTCTAAACTATGAGGTGATCGTGGTTGAAATGTTCATCTCTATGACAACAAGGTAGTATTGTTGTCATATTAAAAATCAAAGTTTTGTAGTAATTCTATATCGTCTTCATAAGCCATACTTTGAGAAGTCAAAAAATGTTGACTAAACGGTGTTATTTTTTAGATGGGAAATTATCCTTCATAAGCCAATTCATTAATTTTAAAATTCAACTGATGCGAGCCAGGAAATTCATGGCGGCAGAGTAAAGGATTGTTGTGTTAGCGTAGTATGAAAATCCAACACACTCTTAGAATGGAGTAAGAAATTAGTAGCGGAAAAACCTGAAAAAGGGAGAAAACTTCCTGCCCGATTGATATGATTCGTTATATGATTTTAAGTACATGGGTCCACTCTTCTCTTAAATTCGGGAAGACGGAGTTATAAAAGATAATTATTGTAAATGTACAGCAGTGGTTCCTCGATAGTAGCCACAATCTAGCTATAGTGAGTATAATCTCGATAAAAGTAGGCTACAAGAGTCATAGTCGGTTACTATGGAGATAATAATTTCTCGTAAATATTATAGATGATGGTCGTAGGACCAGCTTATCTTATAGAAAGTAGTTGAAATTCATGATAATAATTGGTCATATGGGCTGCAGATGGCTGCTTCAGAAGCGTCAGTTGGCCACTAAGGTTGTGGTAGGATGCTACAGGAGTTGCGAGTTACATAGGTTGTAGTTGGTCACATGGGATGTAGTGGTGAGTTGCGACGAAGTCCGTATGTCGCAAAAGCAGGAGTCAAAAGTCGTACGAGCTGTGAATCACGTAGGCTGTAATTGAACACGGTAGACCGCGGGGGCCTGAGCTGGGAACTAATTAAGCTATCAACAACGTAGATCGTAGTTGGTCAGGTAGGTCTTAGTGGTGAGCTGTGAAAACCTCCATAGGCCATGGGGGTCGAAGTCAGGAACTGTACGAGCTATGAATCATGTAGGTCATAGTTGGTCAAGTAAGTCATAATGACAAGCTATGACGACATCCATAGGCTGCGACATCGGAGCGTGAACTGAATGAGCTATGAACCATGTATTTTGTAGTTGCAAGTTATGACAGTGTCCATAGGCCGGGAGGGCCGAAGTCAGGATTTGTAGAGCTATGAATCACGTAGGTCGTAGTTGTTCATGTAAGCCGTAGCGGCCAACTGTGATGACATTCGTAGGTCGCATGGCCTTAGTCAGGAATTGCACGAGTTATGAATCACATGAGCCGTAGTGGCTAGATGTGACGATGTCCATAGGCCGTGGGGGCCAAAGTTGGTTGGATAGGGTGACAGTCGGAGGTGGTTGTGGTTAGAAGTGGTGGTGGCTTGAGACGGTGAAGATTTAAAGGCGACGACAACCGAAAGTTGACGACGACCAGAATGCAACAGCGGCGAGACAGTGATGGTCGAATGACAGCGACGGCGGCCGGAAGACGGCGACGACTGCCTGAGATAGTAGTGGCAACGACCTGGGACGACAGTGGAGCCGATCGCCGGAAGTCGGCGACGACTTGAGACTGTGGCGCCGATGGCCTGAGACGGAACCACCGGAGGGCGGAGGCGATGATGGCCTGAGAAGGCGATGGTTAAGAGGTGGCAGGAGCGTCCTGAGATGGTTGTGGTGGCCGGAGGGTGGCAACGACGAGGGCCTAAGAAGGCGGCAGCCAGAGGGCGGTGGCGACCGGAGATGACGATGCAAGAGGCTGGGCTGCAACTCTCTCTTATGAAGGCTCTCCTCTTTTACTTGCTCTGGGCCTCAGTTCCCTTTCATTAGGAGCTTAAGCCTCTATTTATAGAGTCTAAATTGTAAATAAGGCAAGAATCCAAAAACACACTTGGTTGGACAGTCGGGAGAGATACTCTCGATCAGACGACATCTGATGGACATTTGACTACCTTAATGATGTCAGAATTGAGTGATTTTTGGCTCGTTAGATTTTTCTCGCCGAGACGCTTGATATGACTATAAGCATGTCATATTTGATACATGCTTGACCTTCCAATTATTCCCAAAAAGCTTCCTAAAGCAGTTTATTGGCTTGATTCCACTCAGATTGGACCGATTTTTTTTACCGTTGGGCCCGTCTCCTTGAGCCAGTCAGCTTCACTATAAGTTTGCTCAAATGGAAGCTCTGGATGATTTTGAATCAAAGTTTGAACGCTCTTTGCTCAAAAAAATTATCTCGAGATTCGTGTCATGTCTTCTTGCTCAATGTTAGACATTTCTTGAAGGCGTATCAAACCCACAATTCTGTTCTAACAGAACTCGTAAAAACTTCACAAAGTTTAAGGTCTACATTTATATCAATGAATTGCATATCATTTAGTTGATTTTTCATGTTCCGTTGGCCAAAGGTGGTTGCTCGAGGTGGAACCTTTCAAAGATGTTCACTATTTTGTTGTTTATGTACCCCAAATGGACTCAACCCTATGTGTAGTCAAGTTAGTTAAACTATAAAAATTTTTAACTCTTCATATCTAACCAGAATAATTGCTCTTAAATTCTATTTCAAAATATCTTTCTCCATCAAAGCCATTAATTAAAAAAAAAATCAAAATGACAAAACAGTCCAAGCTAGCTAATTAATTATTTATTTAATAACTATAAATTATCAATTATTACATGCTTTAATGACTTGTCAGCTTACAATAATGTTTAGCTAGCTGTCATGCCCCAATTATTCCAAGCTACTTGGCCATTATTTTAATTTGCAATCAATGAATCTAGAGAAACCATTATTTTGCATGCATTCTCTTAGTTCCACAACTCATACAATTAATGAAATATAAATGTCATAATCACATTAAATAAAATATATGTTTTGTATATTTTGTTTCTTTCTTCAACAAATTATAATATTTAGCAAGAATGTTAACATCATAAATTCAAAATCATGCATGTCATGTGTAAAATCAAGTCCTAATTTAATATGTTATAGAATGAATTATGTCATTCAAATGTCAAATCATAAGAGTTTTAATTGCTTTTATTGATTCAAGTAACATAAAAATAAGGAATGCTTAATGTTCACTATAGCTATTTGTTGTGATGATGATTATATAGCAAGTTATGTTATATGGAAGGTTATAATATCATTATGAAAGCTTGCTTTTCTTAATATGGTTAACTAACCGAATGATGAGAAATTGATGTCACAACTAAAATAGAGATTTAGATTCATACCACACAATTCTTGCGTATTTACACGTATCTAACACTTAAAGTTTGATATTTATGTTTATAATACCTTGGTGTCATGACATATGCAAGAAAATGTGTAGTTTGCAACTAAGGTTTGGGTTCATGATATGATCCTTGATATTGATTATATGCAATTTTAACTATTAAAAATTAGGGATAATTACACACGGACCACTCGAAATGTTGATATTTACAAACTAACCAACCAGGTGATTTTTTGTGAACTATAGAACTGATGTATTTACGCGTGACACGAACAAATGAGAGAAATTCATAAAAATGAAAAATATGGGTTAGGGTTTTTACGATGAGTTTTGATATTTTAATGAGGATTAATTGAAAAGTGGATGAAAATAGGTGGTTAATTTGTAAATAGTAAGTTTCGGGTGATCTGTATGTAATTGCCTCATTAATTTTCTTAATTTGGTACCATAGTAGCTTATCTATTAACTCAAAAATAAAGATTATGTGTTCTTGAATCTTGGCTTTAGAATACATCTTTTATACATTGAACCAATCTGCTCTTAAGCTTAGCCTTAGTTACAAATCTTTCCTTAACTAAACAAAAAACAAAGAAGGAAATATGTAAAATAAGGAAGACTTACGTATATACCGCCCATTTTCTATGTATTTATATATCTAACACCTACAATTCAGTTTTTGCATACATATCACCTTGATTCACTTTGCATGAATATGGGTGTATTTCACTTATAAAAACTTTAAAAATAATGATAATTAATGAAAAATAAACTAATTTCATATTACTGTGGTAGACAAAAATGAAATATTTTAGAGAGAGAGAGAGAGAGAGAGAGAGAGAATTTGCTCAATATATTTAGTATGATGTAGAAATCTATACAAATGTCTCTTCAAATGACTTCATCTTTTCCACTAAACACCACCTTTTGTACATTTTTCTAATTATTACAGTTTATAACCACCTTGATGGCTACCTTTACATCAGTGGGGCTTATCAAGCCCTTCCATTTGAAGCATTGTAATCTTTTAATACAATAATGCAATAAAAGCTTTTCATCACACCTCATAGCATCATGGATTTCCATAATGACTTCCTATATATATATATAGGAACCCAAGTTATAAAATAATGAAGGCCATGCATGAAAAATGATTCCTTCCATCATGCAAAATGACAAGTGATGCACTTTTGAAGAATATTAAGGACTCTTTATTAATAAGAAGTTTAAAAAAGAATAAGATTTCTCTTGAGTAGCAAAGGACAACCTAAAACATACTTAAACAATTTAATATATATAGATATGTGTGAAGACATGAAAAAAGAATAAAATGATGAACATATGGTAGGGGGAGGATATTTTCCATGACTATATATGAACTTGGAAGGCTCAATTATTCAACTTGAAAACCAAGCAAAGGAAAGTGAGAGACATCCTCTATCAAATCTTCTAAAGACCACTCTCCAACCCTCATGCTTTCATAACCCTCCTCCCACATTTTATGACTAGCAACAAAGTGATTGTCTTTGATACTATTTTTAGTATCATTATGATCATTATGATTGATCATGTTGGAATTAATTTCCCCAATATTTCTTGAATAATTATGATATGCATAATCTAAGTTGGCACCATTCTCTTCTTGACTTGCACTCTCCAATGGAGGAACAAAGTAATGATCATAACCTTCTTCTACCATAAGACCACCATCCATGGCCATGAAATCATGAGCATTACCATCATCATACATGCCATTATCGTGCAGCAAGCTTGAAGTCATGTTGATGAAGCAGTCATTTGCAGTTGTACCAGGGAATGGAAATAAGTTGTAGTTAGTGTTCAGAGGAAAAGCTTGCATTGAAGAAGAAGAAGACGATGCTGATGAGTTCATGCGCATGAACATGATGTCCTCTTTAATAAGCTCCTTATTGGCATCCGGCGGAGATTTTTTATCATGGTTGGAAGGAGATGGCTGCAATGAGTTCTTTAATCTCTTTTTTATGGTAGAGTTCCAGAAATTCTTTATCTCATTGTCTGTGCGGCCTGGCAACCGAGCTGCAATTTGAGACCATCTGCATTATGTTGAAATATCTTCAGGATGCATTATATGTCATTTGTTGTTTTTGTTGGTTGAAATAGTTATCTAGCTAGCAATCAAACAACATTATCCCCATCATTATATCATAAACAATATATAATAATCTAATATACATTAACAAAATTACATACCACATATCATTGTGGGACTAAATAATTTCTCTATATACGCGTGCGTACAGACAGAGGCGCAGAACACGTTCATCGCACAACGATTAGGATGAGCGTATTTTGTACGTGGGCAACATTTACATGCGCACATGCTGTGCACGCAATATTTTCTCCAGAGAGAGAGAGAGAGATACCTGTTGCCAAGAATGGAATGCAGGTGAACGATGAGCTCCTCCTCCTCGATCGAGAAAGCGCCACGCTTGAGATCGGGACGGAGATAGTTTATCCACCGAAGACGACAACTCTTCCCGCATCTCTGCAAGCCTGCATTTCGAGCTACGTCGGTCCAGCAACCCTGGCCATTACTCAGCATATAGTGCACGAGCTTGTCATCTTCCTCAGGAGACCATAAACCCTTCCTCAGCTTATAAACACCGGTCTCTCCATGCTTGGAAGGAGGAGGAGGACCAGAAGTGTCTGGCCTCCTCATCATATCATGTGGTGAGGATCAAAACTAATTAATTTGTTCCTCTTTCTCTCTGTTGCATGTGGGAGATATGGCAAGTACATATAGAGAGAGAGAAGGGTGGATGGATTGATTCATGGGGTATGGATAATGATGGTGATGGTGATGGGTTGGAGTTTGCTTAGAATATGGAGAAGAGAGAGAGAGAGGAGAGAGAGAGAGGGGTGGGTATGTTAGTTGTTGTGTGGAGAGAAAACGGTATAGAGGAGAACTATGTACAGATGTGTTGTTTTTGGGGGGGGGAGGGGGGGGGGGGGTGGGGCCCGAGAAATAGGTTGGTCATCTTGTCTTTGACTCCAGTTCTTGTCCTTTTCGATGTTTTTTCTTCACTCTCACGGAAGAGAGAGAGAGAGAGAGAGAGAGAAGTATGAAATGTAGTAGGGAAAATTATAAATACTTATTTTGCATATTTTACTTAAGAAATGTCATTCTAGGATGTTTATTTGTTGATGTTATGATGTTGGAAGGCTTTTCTTAAGGGAAATAATTTGGAGGAATTTTGAATTTATTTATGAGCTCTAATATAATGTATTTTTTTTTCATATATGTAAGTTTTTTTGATGAAAATGCATGGCATTTTATTATATGATTATATGACAAATTATATGTACATGTTGGGTTAGAGATGGTTTGAGAGTTTTCTTTTTCTATTGAGAACTGTAGGGAGAAGGTGGGGGAGAGGAAACAGAGAAAGGATGTAATGAGTAAATGGGAGGAAAAAGTTAACGAAAGAGATTGTTTTATATGCAAGCTAAGCAATTTGCTTTCATCTTACATTAGCTTCTCCTTTCCTCTCTTCCACTTAAAAAAATGCATTATATTGTTTTATATATATATATATATATATAATATATATATTTGTGTGTGTGTGTGTGTGCTGTCTATCCCGGCCTGCTGGTTGACATCTACAATATAAGACTACTCAAATCGGGGATTGGAATACTCTCTGACACAGTTAGCCTTAAGAAGATAGTACTCGAATTGTTAGACGTATTAGAGGTGATTGGAGACTTTAATATATATATATATATATATATATTTTGCTAAAGCACAAATCCCAATACAAATTTTAAAATTTAATAACATTCAAGTAAACAAATTAGAAACTTTCAAAATTGTTTTTAGGATCATATGAATTTCACTTTAAATAAAATTATAACTAAAATAAATTACTCATTGATCAATAAACCGAAAGATATCATGAATACCTTGATTTGTGTTTCAAATAGGCATAGATTAAGCACTCATAAGTATAATTAGAAATTTGATATAAGATTCTCTCAGACTCTAAATTAATTCCTTGTCTTGTGTATTGATATGGCCATTTTGCTCAGTTTTGAGTTCATAAATCTAACCTTCGCCCAATGCCTGGAGCCCACTATTGTTTTTACATTTGTTAACAAACAATGTCTGGTTCTCTTCTTTTTTGTCATCAATCTCTGCTTCTATTAATAAAAGTTAATCAAATGTATGTCAATTGATCGTCATCTAATGCTTAGTGATAACTTATTTTTTCTAATGTTAAGCCTAAAAAAATATTACATCAGTACTACGCACGTAGAGTAACGTGCGTAGCCAATTAAATCACGCCACGCCCCCCCACGAGACAGGAAAAAAAAAAACGGCGCGGTAACACGGGGAATATTTCCCCCGTGTTATTCTTGTGTTATTGTGTGTTATTCATGTGTTACTGATGTGTTATTGTGTTATTATAGCACCAAAAATATTCTCAGAGCACAATAACACATGAATAGCACACAATAACACCAGAATAACATAGGGGAATATTCTCATAAAAGAAAAAAACAAAAAACAACGCGGTAACAATATTCCCCTCATGTTATTCATGTGTTATTGTGTGTTATTCATGTTGTGTTATTCATGTGTTTTGTTATTATAACACCAGAAATATTCTCATGACACAATAACACATGAATAACATGGGGGGAATATTCTCCGTGTTACCGCGCCGTTTTTTTTCTATCGCGTGGGGTGTTGTGGCGTAATTTCATTGGCTACGCACGTTACTATACGTGCGTAGTACTGATGTAATATTTTTCCGTTAAGCCCAATAGGCAATATGTGCAAATTGAACCCGCGACATCACGATGAGAAATTAAAACCTCAACCACTATGTCTCGGATAAGTGCTCTGCCCACCAATGACTTACTAATTTCTTACATCTAAATCTCACTATGCATATCAATCGATCTAAACTTTATATAATTTTATAAATTAAAAATAATTTTATTTGTTAATATAAATTTTGACATTAAACATAATTTCATGAAAATGTAAGTTTAATGTGAAACTCAAACTAAATACAAAATATTTATTAAAAAAACTAATAAATAAATTTGCACCTCCAAACTAATTATAATTTTATATCATTTTTTTTTATTTTCTATTTTGACATGCTCAAATATAAGAAAAAAAAAATTGTAAAACAAATATATATATATATATTTGAAGTTTACAAAAATAAAGTTTTTTTTTTTTAATATAGTGGTATTTACATCCATACCACCAATTTCTGATGTATATAAACAACTGGCCTATAAACTTTACTTTTTTACATTTATACCACCCCAACTTTCATATCATACTTTAAATTTTGTGTTATTTTCATTTTAATTTTCTAAAAGTGAAATACATATTCTTAAGCATAGGTAAGGCGACATGTCCGTAAAATTTAAAGTTTGTAGTAATAAGCTAGTTTTTTTTATAACATCACATGCCTACACAAAAACCAAGTGCATTTGATGGAAATGTTTAAGGTCTATTGAGATAACTTTCTGTCTGTTCTGCTTTTCAGACCACCACCATTATTCTGATTGAGGAACCGCTTACTTGCCGTTTTCTATAAATTTTTATAGTAATAAGCTAATTTTTTCAATGTGAGCTACTAAAGTGTGATGACTGTCAGAAAGTAACATGCAGCAAATATTATGAAGAGCGGGCGGCTCATGCAAGTATACATGACATATCAGCAGTATCGGAGTTTAAGTATGGTCGTCGATCCCATAGGTAATGAGATGAATTCTAAAAAAAAAAAGTCTCAGCCAACAATTTTAAGACTAAGCCTGAGGAGTTTAATTTGCAAGTTCAATTTTAATTCAATTCAAAAGCTATGAAAATTGGTCTATCCTAACAAGCAAAACGATTCTTTTGTAATTCAGGGGTTGAGAATTTCCCTCTTTAATTGATTAGGTGATGATGGAAATGACTAAGGATTTGATTCAAAAATTAGTAAACAGGAGAAAAATTCTTCTTTATCCCTTTTCGATAGTCTAAGGAAGAATAAAAGTCTTACGTTTAGTTCCTTAATACTTTTGAACTACTCATAAGAAAATGTCTCTTAGAAGATTGCATGAATCCAATGATAGTATCCCTATTCCAATGAATTCATGTTATTACCCTTTTGTTCCATAAAGAATCCTTCTATATATTAATATTCATAAATGATTTTAACAATCAACTGGCCAAGTAGAAAGTAAATTAAGTTCTCAAGTTAACAAAACACTTTTAAACTCAATTAAAAGCCCAAACAATCTCAAATCTCTTGTCATATCCAATCACTATCTCAATTATATAGAGAAACAAGAAAACTACTCACTATTCATGACAGGTTTCATAAACACAAACTTTTTATTGTGAATAAACATCGAAAACCAAGTCTTTACAAAGAAATCCTTTAGAAAATACAACTTAATTGTACTTATCTCCTTCACAATAAAGCAAGATAAAATTGTCTCTCATAGCAAGTAATAAACTCTCTCAATCCTCACAAATACTCTCTTTTATTCTATCATAATCTTCTTGCAAGTTGTGGGGTCTTCTCCTCAAAAACTTCTCTAAAAACTGGAATAAGCAAAATGGTGAAAAAGCCTTCATAAATTTGTCTTCCAGCCTTATATTTTTCTTCCCTTCAATTCAAATTATGAACAACCAAAATCGTCGAATTTCAGGTTCTTGCGCCTAAGCGCCACTGATTTGAAAAAATATATAAAAAGGATTGGTGCCACGATCGCAGCTCTTAGGCGCTCAAGGAGTAGCGCCAACTTTCTACCCGCTCGGGAATTTGTTCAATTTGGGAATGAACTGATGTCTAGGCACCACTAACTCGGCGCCTAGGCTCCATATCACATCTTTTTCCATTCCAATTTGTTTAAGTCTTGCTCAATCTTCTTTCTGTTGTGACTTGCAAAACAACATGAGAACCTTCCTCAAAGCATAATACTTTTATAGGAAATGCAAACATTTACAAACATTTAATACAGAAGTATAAGGACACTTCAGAAAGCTTCAGTCAGACTTTTTGAAAATAAATAAATTTGTAAAAGTCACCACAGCTTTTTAAAAAATATTTTTTTTCTACAAAAGCTTCACTACTCCTTCAAACAACTGCAATTGCCCAAACACACTCTCAAGATGAGATACAGTTTTAGAATAAAACCATAATGAAATCTCAAACGTTCTTCTATTGATACAATTACAACAATAATTTATTTTTGTAAAAGTTATATAATAATAAAAATATGAATTGTATATGAACTCAAGTAATATGTATTTGTATATCTACACCGAAACTTCAGTTTTAACCTTGTACCCCTCCAACAAATCTCCATCTTTTTACATGAATCTCGAGCATAACACAGATCTCAAGGCAATATTTTAAGCAAGAAACATTCAAACTTAAATTAAGAGTCATATAAACCTCTGATTTTAGCAAACTTATAGTCAAACTGATCGACTCAATGAGATGAACCCGATGACACCAAATTTGATCTAATTCAAGTCAAACCAAGCTCAAATGAAGTTATTAAACCACTTGTAGAAGCTTATCGAGCATATTTGAGAGATCAAATGAATGTCGAATTTGGCAAGCTTATAGTCGAATAATCGAGCGTCTCGACAAGACGAATCCATCAAGCTTAAGATTGCTCAATTCTGACATTATTAATGCACTCAAATGTCTATCAAACGTCGTCTATTCA